CCCCGCGCCTGCAACAATATCGAGCCACACGGCTGGGTTGCGGGGGGTTGGGGGAGGGACAAGGCGAGACAGGCGGAGACTCGAATTTGGGAATGAGGGCGGCAGAGGGCGCGCGTCCCTGGGTCACAAGCCTGCAGCGACGTCCGGATCCAGCCAGAACCCGGACCCTGAAGCCTCTGAGCTGCTGTCTGCGGGGCACAGGTCGCGTGGGGCGGGGGGCTCCGGATCAGAGGAGGATACAGGACGAGCAGAGAGTGACAGGGCCTCTTCCAGGAGAACCCGGTGCAAACGTCGCCCTGAGGCAGGGACCTCGCGCTGAGTACCAGCAGGATGGAGGGCGCGCTCCGCAAGCCACCCCCGGGACTCGGGAAAGGGTCCCAGGGGGGCAGCGGGGAGGAGGCTGGAAGTGGGCACCCGGGCTGGAGTCTGAGGTGAACGCAGGGCTGAGTCCACTTTACCCCAAGTCTTCAGACACTAGGGGCCGAGAACACAGTCCCAGCCGAGGACGCCAGGAAGGAGGTGTGGAAGGACAGGGGTCAGCAAAGGCAGAAAATCCTCAAAGGACAGGGACCCGGTGGTCGGGATCCCACAGGTCGGAGGTCTCTCCTGACACTGTGGGCCACAGCACCCACAGGACACAGACACCAGACACATGCACGGAGGAGGGTAGGCCCTGCCCGTCTCTGGCCAGGCCAGAGGGTGTCCCCATCTTTAGGGGCCAGCCTGCAAGGCCTGTGCTCACCACGGCCTCCCCCAGGGCTTCACCCAAGCGTGCAAGGACAGAGCCCCCTCTGGGGCAACACCACCAGCTCACAGCAACCCTGTCCTCATCTCATCATCCCCAGGAGGAAACGCGCTGGATCCACCCCTCTGAGTCCCAGCCGAGATGTTCCTCAGCCAGGAGCCCTCCCTGCTCTCAGCCCCTGAATGACACCGGACTCACCACCAGGGGGCAGGCGGACACCGCCGGCTCCTGGGTGTGGGGTCCTCTCTCCTGAGCTGTACCCCAGCCTTCCCCCTGGAGTGGAAAGGCAGGACCACCCACTCCTGGAAGCAGAGCTCAGGGTTACGCGGGAGACCATGGCCCAGAACCCTGGAAAGCCTGGCTTCAGGTGTAGGGGCCATCAGTGCCGAATCCCACACTTCCCACGGCCTCTGCCCTAGCCCCGGACTCTGGCCCCTCAGACTCGG